TTGCAACACTTTTTGCATTTCCTTTAGTTTCTCAGAGACTGTATTAGAAAGCCAAAATTGTAATACAATAAAGGCACATCTGTTAGCTACTCACCCACACTACTGTAATGTGTACATATGACAATATACGTACAATTTATACATGAATAGACAAGTCAAATGTTTCATCTGACCCCATAAGAAGGGACGGTTGCCACAGTCCACAGTAATTAAAATCATTTCTTAAATATCATTTTGCCATTTCTTTATTTTATTTGTGCACAGACATGGTCTTCAATAAGTTAAATTGGCTGTATAAAAACAGAATATTAAATGGGGGGGGGAAAGGGTTCTACACTGGTGGGGACTTAAACCTGAATACGCACCAACTCATGGGACTTCACCGTAGGGACCTAAATTGAGGTCCCCATGGGTACATAAGCTTATAAATCATACAGAATTCGTTTTTTTTTTTTTTGAGATTGTAAACATGCAGAAAGTTTTCTGTGAGGGGTAGGTTTAGGTGTAGGGCGATAGAAAATACAGTGTGTACAAAAACCATTATGCCTACAAGGATTGACGTGTGTGTGTAAACTCCTAAATTGGCTTTGTAAAGAAAACATGCTCGAATATCTCTAAAGAGTGGTTAAAAATCTTAATTTACTCATACTAAGCTTTTAGATCTGCTGACAGTTAACGGGACGAATTGATAATTTATTTTAACATAACGCAGGCCTATATTGTTTTAAATGAATTTCACATGAGGCCATAGCGGGTTTCGGCCTCCCGGTTGAAAACCGCTGTGTTTAGAGAATTTAGACGTGCTTTGCGCCACTGTTGCCAACTCTCGCGAGACAAATAAGCAACCGCAGCTTCAAAAACAAGCCCAATATTTTTTGATAATTTATTATCATCAACATTATTTATTATCAATTATTTATTACCAATAAATGAGCCCGCAACATATTAAACTGAAACCCTTTTATTTGAAAAGCAAAAACATAACTTATTTTACAAAAATCAGGAAACTGCAACAAAGCAGGAACAAAACTCATCTCCAATCACCTGTGAGCAGAATAGGATTGGACAGATGGAAAAGGAGAAAAACAAAAGAGCTTCAAAGGGGAGCTGTAACATAGCCACATATTTTAGCCTACTAATTCGAACCAAATCTACTCTTAGTATTAGTATAGACCTACTTGTTTTTTGTTTTTTTACAGCCCGTGATAATTAATAAATTACAAAAACATTGTAAAAAAAAATAGGCTACCTTATAAAGGAAAAAAGTCATCCCACTCCTCTACGTCTACTACTATCATCGCTTGGATTACAGCGTCACGCGCCTACTTTTTGAACGTGATTTTTCTTCAATCCGTCATTGAAGAAAAATCACGTTCAAAAAGAAGGCGCGTGCGGAGGGGGCGGAATATTTGACAAATTACGCTACAGCACTTATATTTTTGCACTGATTGGCTATTAACTGTGAGCAGACAGAGTGTCAATCAATGCATTGGAGGATACAGTGAACATAAATGAAAAGAAACGTAGGTTTTCCTAACAATTCATAGTCATTTAAACACAAGACAGCTCATTAAACATATTTGTAATCCATGGCACTTTGTTGGAGGACCACCCACCTTTCCAGACTGCAGGGTTTAGTTACAATGATGCTTTATTGGCAGCAACATTGAGATGCAAGTACTTTCATTTGCAGAATCAGGCTGAACGGCGATCACTTTTTCAAAAACAAACTTCCACCTTATAGACATTCCCACTATTTGTAAATGATAATTTATATATTTACATAATTTAAGCAATTAGGTAAATGCAATGTTTTGTAGAAATTATATGGTAAGGTTGACAATCTTGCAAAATCGATGTACCCTGGTAGTTGCCAAGGAAACGCAGCAGAATTAATCTACACTTAGAGCAATCAAACTTGTGGAGCCCTTACATCATGGTTGTGGCACTTTGTTGGAGGACCACCCACCTTTCCAGACTGCAGGGTTTAGTTACAATGATGCTTTATTGGCAGCAACATTGAGATGCAAGTACTTTCATTTGCAGAATCAGGCTGAACGGCGATCACTTTTTCAAAAACAAACTTCCACCTTATAGACATTCCCACTATTTGTAAATGATAATTTATATATTTACATAATTTAAGCAATTAGGTAAATGCAATGTTTTGTAGAAATTATATGGTAAGGTTGACAATCTTGCAAAATCGATGTACCCTGGTAGTTGCCAAGGAAAAGCAGCAGAATTAATCTACACTTAGAGCAATCAAACTTGTGGAGCCCTTACATCATGGTTGATGTCGTGTAAGAGTGCTGAGCCACAGCCTAAATTTAGGACTGATTATAAGCTGAGAAATGTTAAATTGAAGAGTGGATTACAGCCTCTTTCTGATTGCCATAGAGAGATCTGTTGCCTGAGCTCCTTTTTTCCACTGTGAAGTGTGTCTCCGAGGTCTGTACATCTGTTCCCCACCACACCTTTCTGCGTCGGGACAAATAGTTGCTAAACTAGGGTAAGTGCTACTTTTTGAGATCGAAACACCCAGCCTGGTGTTTTCTCAGCTGCCAAAGTAGTACACACTCTCTTCCTGCCATAGTGTGGTCTTGCCATTTGGTCAACGTACCTGAAGAAATGTTCTTAAAATTTATATTTATGAAGCATTTTCACCAAAAATGCACTTAAATTTCCCATTTTGTTTTTTTTATTCCACAATCTGGCCACTCAAGTGAAACTGGTCGATTTGGTGGCTGTTTCTTCACAGCGGTGAACCTGTATTCAAATAGATCAGTTTTGTTTGGATGCAGGATAACGTTCTTTTAAGATGCTAAGCTGTAGTGTAGCGGGGCTTTGCCGCAGGTTGTAATCGGTTTTCATGAGTTCCAGTAGCTCAGTGGGTCATCTTTGTCCCAGAGCTTTGGAGACAAAAGGTGCGCTGGGATGAAGGCACAGTTCAACCCCCATCCCGGTTTGAGCCACACATAAATTGGTACTGCAGGGGGCGGAGGAGGGGCACTAAAGCTTCCTGTCTTCTCAGGACCCCCAGCAGAACCTCGAGGGTCCCTTTCTTTCCAGCTCTTAATGACTTTATGAGGATGGAAGCTAGTTTTAGAAAGTGACTATTTTATTCTGCCTTATGGTGTTTAGGGAAGCATGGGAGAGAATGAGACCATGTCTAACTTTGTCATGGCAGATTTAGAATATAAAGGACAAATCTGGTGCACACAATGGCCTGTTTACAATGGAATTTGTGTGTTTAATGAAAAATCAGCTTAATCTGAGAATCTGCAAATAATTGAAAGGTCAGTATCAAAACCCAACAACTGAACATTGTAATAGGCACTATTGTGAGGTTGTAATAAACATCGAGGGCAGTGAAAGGACTGCCAGCAAACAGTCAGGAGTGAGCGATTGTTAATTGTGCAAATGCATTACTGGGTAGAGAAGTATGTAATAGGGAAAGAAATAAGGAAGACTACAAAGTTGCAGACATAAGTCAAAAAATGTGCAAGTAAGCCAAGGTCCCAAATGCTTTAGTTGCATTTGCATTCTGCTTCAAGACAGAACTCTGAAAATTAGCCAAAGGAAATTGCTTGTCTCAATCCATTTTAGTCGGATGCTTGTTTTATAACAAATGGAGGGTGGCGGCCATGGGTCAAAGATATTTTACAAAAAAAGTCGATTTTTTTTTACAGTGAAAGTCAGTGTTTGGACCCCACCGATGTTGATTTCATGGTCATAAACTGTTAAAACATATTTCAAAATACCATCTTTGGATTTTTGTTTTTGGGTGAACTATCCCCATCTAGTAGAACTGACCCTTAAAAAATATTAATAAAGCCAATTACCAGTTGGTTAATTGAATTACCTGAAGAAACCATGAGATGCAGATATTTAATAGTTTTGCTTTGAGGATTAATTTATTAGACATCCAAACATGATACATTTTAAATAAATGCCTAATTAATAAACTATGGAGAATCCATTAAATATTATGCATGCTAATCAGAATTTTTTTTTCTATTTCTGTAACTTTATATTTAACACCACTTTGTTCCTTACAGGTTTGTTCCAGGAAGGGGTGTAGTACTATACCCTCAGATCGGAGACAAAATGGACATTGTGTGTCCAAGAATCAAGCCAGGCTCCACTGAGCAGGCGAACATTGAATACTTCCAGGTCTATCTTGTTCCCAAAGAACAACTTGAGACCTGTCGAGTTACTAAGGGCGACATGTTACTGCTCAACTGTGACAAGCCGGACCAGGACGTGAAGTTTACCTTCAAGTTTCAAGAGTTCAGCCCCAACCTGTGGGGCCTGGAGTTCTACAAAGGGAAGGACTATCACATCATCTGTAAGTTTATTGCCATGCTTACTCAAGAATTTACTTCAGGTGCTGATTCATGATCGTTTTTCACCTTCATTGCCAGCTGTAACACTGTGTAGAAGGAGTCAAATGCAGAACTGATCCCACCCGTGGGAATTTCAGCCTCCGGCATTGTCTCCCAAGATATCTTTTCCGTGTTTTTGTCTGGGAAGGTGACTGACTAGTGTAGCCCTCCAAAAATAGTGAACAAATCAAGTTTATAGTTAATGGAAATTAAATCCATTGGCTTTACCACACAAGATGTCTTTGTTATAAACATAAATACATTTATGTTCATTAATCATATTATTGTTTAGCTTGCACACTTCTTTTTTTTTTTTCCCCAGGCCTATTTGTCTTCTTCCCCTACAGGGAGGGGAACGTCTCAAGTCTTCAGTGTTCTCTGGGAAGGAAGACTTGTTGATGGCCCTTTAAATGGATGTCATTAGTGTCATTCGACCACTTCGAAAAAAGGGGTTATCGTTCAGTTTAGCGTGTTGATCTCAGCCCCTTTTCGGTTGGCACATTCCTTAATGGCCGTTTATGTGATTTAAGATTTACATGCTCCAAATCCCTCAATCCTTTGCCAGTATGAGACGGATCGGTTTGATGTGATTTTTCAAGGCAGCTTGGCCTGCAGCCCGAGGGACACGGATATCTGACCTAAATGATTCTAAAGAGACTTAACTCTGTGTCTGTGTGTGTGCGCGCCTTTTGTGCATGCAAATGTCAGAACATGTGCATGTAACTGTGATCTGTGTGAGAGTTGACAAAATGAGAGGAAGAGAACTTTTTTTAGACATGCTGGAAAGTCTTGACGTACACTACCATTGAAAAGTTTTTTTGTTCAAAAGTTTTTAAAGAAATTATTAGTTTTATTCAGCAAGGATGCATTTAATTAATTGATTAAAAGACGTAAAATAATTATTATTATGAATTAAAATAATGTTTCACAAGATTTCTATTTCAAATAAATTATATTACTATGAATTTTCTATTCATCAAAGAAGAATAAAAATCACAGTTTACACAAATTTAGTTGTATCAATGCAGTTTTCTACGTTGATAAAAATAAGAAATGTTTCTTAAGCACCAAATCAGCGTATTAGAATGGTTTCTGAAGGATCATGTGACACTGAATACTGGAGTAATGATGCTGAAAATTCAGCTTTGCCATCATAGGAGTATATCATAAAAAATAGCAACAAAGTCAAAAAAATTGTACTATAAACTTTTGAATGGTAGTGTATATGTGCTTGCTCATGAACAAGGTACTAGATACTATTATTTTCCTATCAGTTTTCACTTTCTAGAGAGACATTTACTGTAGGTTTTATATCAATGGATTTTACAGTAAGTTAAGAAAAATACATTTACTTCATGTGGAAACATCTAAAGTAATTGTTAAATAGGCATTTGTTCATAAAGCATAAATAGTATTTTGCCACGTTTCACAGTGTAGATTTAATTGGAGCAAAGGAGAGAGGAAGAATGCTAGTATATTAAAAATAGTTGGTTTAATTTTATTTATATGTTTGTGACACAATGTATATTATTCAAATTTATGAGCAGCCATTAAATATCGGCGCAATCAGTACAAGACATCATCATGTCCTGCTGCACTTCCCAACAAATAATTTGCATTTCTTCTAGACATACTGACAGAAAGGATATGTTTCTCTGTGGATATGTGGTTAAAATATGATAGCTAGGATAGTTAGATCTCCTAATGTCTGCAAAAATCTAAAACGAACATACTGAAATCATAACATCTGCTTGGATACACTTGTATGTGCGCAACTTCAATTTTCCACCTCCACTTTGTTGCTCGGTCGCTGGCTTCGTGACTGGCTGAGCTGCGCTGGCCCGAGGCGCTGAATGTGCTTGTTGTGGTTAGGAAATAAGCGGGCTTCATTCAAGCCGAAGAGTCGGGTCACATCTAGAGATCGGCCGCTGCAGATGAATGTGGGAACGGTTGTAGGGAACTGGGGCATGTTGGGTAAAAGCTCTCTCTCTCTTTCTCCCCCTCTGTTTTTCTCTCGTTAGGTCTTTGGTTGGCTTTCTCTGCCCACCCCCAATTCTCTTGCCCTTTCACTCGCTGGTCCCTCAGTTCTTTCTGTGCCCTAAGCAGTTTGGAGGGGAAGTCCATTTGTTCATGTGGGATTGGTCTTAATCCTCGCAGTGAAAGAGAGATTACGGCCCAATGGAATTCTTTAGCTACGCTATCAGAGGACACAGCATGGGAGTGCAGGCACAATGGCGTTTAAATCGTTCGACCAAGCCACTCCACTAGCCGTGGCTTGACGGCCAGAGCAAATCCTTGATATTCTGTGATAATGATGTAAAAAGGCTTTGGTAATATGCTTAGTTTCTGTATGCTTAAATTCAAACCTGTGTGATTACACTGGGGTTATTACTCACAGTATGAGGGTTTTCTCAATTAGCGTGCACGAGAGCACGTGCGTACCTCTCGTAAGGATTTACTGGCAAACAAACGCAAGCTTTTAAGAAGCTTTGGCATGCTGCAAAACTGAGATTTTCTCTTTGTGAGAGCAAGCTGAACCTTCACCTTCTGCATACACATGCATAGTGACTGATGGACACATGACTCAAATGTCCGCAAGGAACACTTGAAAGGTTTTAAAGCACCTGTGAGGATGCATGCAGAAAGCTGACCCGGTCATAAACTAGCTCACTTAGTGCTACTAAACCTTATATGGCCAAATACATTCACAGTACTGGAAGAGAAATGGGCCTCGAGAGGAAAGAATAATTTGGTGGCATGTAGAAGGTTTAAGATGGATGATGGGCTTTAAATATTCAACATCTGAAATGTAGGCTACTAAATTTTAGATGGGTGAATCTCACATTTACATTTACATTTAGACATTTGAATCTCACAAAAAACAAAGAAAATAATTTATGTTGCATTATAAAACTTAAATGAAATGTTCCTATTTTTATTTGATATTGCTTTGACATTAATTTCATAACAAATCTTACTCTATATTGTCATTGCTGTAATGTATGTGGATGTTTCACTTTTAAGATGTTTTTTTCCCCATGTAATTCTTGTTATTCTAAAAGTTTATTTGATTCACACTATTTTATAGTAATCAGCATAATGCTGATGCCAAATAAAAATGATTAAAAACATTTTATTACAGCACATTTTACTGTATTACTAAAGCAGCAAATAATGTGTAAATACCTTTATAATTATTATAATCAGTTATTATAATAATTGTCATTTTTATAAGAATTGTCACATTCTAGAAATGAAAAGGAGATTTTGCATTATTATTCTAATGAGAATTGAAGGAAAATGTGCTTAATTGTCGTGAAAGTCACAATGCAAAAAAAGTCTTTATTTTCATTAAGAAAAATATGATCCAGACATGTTCTTGACTGGTTTTGTGAGATGTTTTATTTATTTTTTAAATTTTTTTGTGAACAAAATTATAACAATGCCTATTTAATTTTTTATTCTTCCCTCTTTCAGCCACATCTAACAGCACTTTTGAAGGTCTGGACAACCACGGTGGTGGTGTTTGCAAGACCAAGTCCATGAAGCTGGTCCTGAGAGTTGGACAGAGTGAGTATCACCCATACCTACACCTGCACCGATGAAGATCACTGCTTCCATAACAGTCTTTCATGTTACTGGTCTTGTAGTGGGTGTCCATGCTAGTGTGCCTCAGCGTGTAATTGAAATATCATGTGAGCTTGTTTCCTGTGGCTATGCCAGCTGTCCCTTCTTTGGGCTTGTGGGGAGATACTTGCAGCTTTACGCCAATTCATTACATTCTCTCTCAAAACCTGGGGCATAACACCCAGAAGCCAAAAAGATGTTAGGGTGGTCCGATATTATGTTCAGATCAGTTTTTCAGTTCGCTGAACATTTTGTAATGCTTTGCTAGACTAGTAATTTTAGTTGCAGCCTGTTAATATTTAACTCTCTGTTTTGTTTGTAGGTCCTACAGATTCATTCTCAGCAAAAAATCATCCAACACGATATCCTCCAAAATACCCTGATAATAAGGACCAAAACACCTTCAGCAAAGAAAACGATGTTGTCAGCAGAGTTGGTAAGTACTGGGTAAATCTCACTAAATGTCATAAATGATAAAATGATGATTAAATTAATTATTATTAAATTATTAAATATTCTATTTAATGCACTATATAATATATTTTACATTATAATATACAATATATTATTATGAATAATAATTAATACATTATTAAAATAGAATATACATAAATCATTAAATATAAATAATGAGGATTAATGTCACAATGCAAAAAGTCACACATCATAAAAATTAAAAGAAAAAACCTTTTGCATAAAATAATGGAAATAACATAATTAAACATTTTAAATATGATATTGATATATACAATACATAATATAATATTTTATATAATCAGGGCCGGATTATCCATAGACGGGATTGGGGCACCAACCAAGAAAGGGGGCACCAAGTGATTGATTTTTCATGTTTTGAATATATATTATTTTGCTGGAAGAGATGCAGATACAAAATGAACAGTTAATGATACAATATATACAGAGAGAATATAAAATATATATATATATATAAAGAATTGCGATTTGGTCAGGTCCAGCCTAATCTTATTATTGTTTATACGTAGGTAGGTATTAATACGTAACATTTACAAGCACAAAATGTACATTTTTGTACGTTTTTATTGATGCTAAAACGTACAATTTAGACGTATTTCCATGTTTAAAACGTACAAGTCGCTACGTATTTTTAGCTAAAAAACTAAATATTTACTTATCTTTTATATCATTAAGATATTCGTATCGATGCATTTTTATAATTTTATCAATAAGTGGTTTAGATTTTTAGACCCCTTAACCTACCCCCAAAACTAAACCTACCCATTTTATAGCGAATATAAAAGGATATAAAACGCAATTGACCGAAATGTGCAGGAAAATAACCTTTTAGTAACAATAGCATTAAACATTTTTATAGTTGCTAATTCCACTCCTACCTCTAAACCTAAACATAACCATTTCTGTACAGTATAAGAAAAACATGACAGACAGATAAATGCAATTACAATAATTTATTTATTGCAAAAATGTCAAAAGCATGTACCAAAAGTAATCCAAATGACGATGCGTTGCAGTCGCAGTCCTCTCTGGCGGAATACAGAACGTTTGTGAGGTGCAGAGCAGAATTTGTGTTGTTAATCGCTGAAAATATCCCGATTATTTTCCCGATCCACTCCGTGAAGGCGAGAGTCAATGAGCGTTCGATCGCTGTAAAACCTGTAGTTTGAAGCGGCAACATTTTCATTTGTAAAGAGCGGGTCAGTCAGCGCGGGCTTTGCTGCTTACGGTCACTGGACTCGCTGCTCGGGATGGAGATGAAGATCGCAGAATAAAGGCTTGGATTTGGGTCTGTTACTCGCAGTCATATGGATTCTGATTTGGATTACAGTGCACGAATAGTTTTTGGTGTATTTTATAGTTCAATTGTCAGTCACAGCATGTCGGAGAAAACGCCTTTTGTGGCCCATGGCAAACAAAGTAAACATTACATGACAAGTAAAGGTTAAACGATTGCAGAAATTGTATTTATTTTAAGGGCTTAAAGTGAAGTCTTGTTTAACATTATGCAGGCCTATTCTTGGAAACGAGCTAGCAGCAGAAATCACAGAACAGAACGAAATGTTATCATTTCATATTAAGCGAGTAAACAATTTAATAATGCAATTGAAAACATAAGGTCATTGACATGACAACTAAAAATAACAACAATAATAAAATTAATGCCACGATTTCAATATTCATAAAGATTAATTTTTAGGTGTCGTCAAAATGTAACTTTTGTACGTTTAAATGCTGAAAATACGTAAGTATTTGTACGTTTAGAGGCTGAAAATACGTCAGTATTGTACGTTTTAGTGCCTGTAAAAACGTAAGTAAATGTACGTTTTATAGAACCACATTTTACGTAAAATACATACGAATTATCATGAGATCACGTTGTTTTTTCTGAGCATTACATCTTTCGGGCTTGAACTGATGGTAAAACTAATGACATTATTTACTGTCTTTACATTTATTTTGAAAGATGAAGCTCGCGATTATGG